TAGAGATGAACGTACTTTGGTGCAAAAAGTGCAAATCAATCCCAAAATAACAGCAAAGGACCTTGTGAAGATGCTGGAGGAAACAGGTATAAAAGTATCTATATCCACAGTAAAACGAGTCCTATATCAACATAACCTTAAAGGCCGCTCAGCAGGGAAGAAGCCACTGCTCTAAAACTGCCATAAAAAAGCAAGACTACGGTTTACAACTGCACATGGGGACAAAGATTGTACTTTTTGGAGAAATGTCCTCTGGTCTGATGAAACAAAAATATAACTGTTTGGCCATAATGACCATCGTTATGTTTGGAGGAAAAAGGGGGGCGCTTGCAAGCCGAAGAACACCATTCCAACCGTGAAGAACAGCGGTGGCAGCATCATGCTGTGGGGGTGCTTTACTGCAGGAGGGACTGGTGCACTTCACAAAATAGATGGCATCATGAGGAAGGAAAATTATGTGGATATATTGAAGCAACATCTGAAGATATCAGTCAGGAAGTTAAAGCTTGGTCGCAAATGGGTCTTCCAAATGGACAATGACCCCAAGCATACTTCCAAAGTTGTGGCAAAATGGCTTAAGCACAACAAAGTCAAGGTATTGGAGTGGCCATCACAAAGCCCTGACCTCAATCCTATAGAACATTTGGGGGCAGAACTGAAAAAGCGTGTGCGAGGAAGGAGGCCTACAAACCTGACTCAATTACACCAGCTCTGTCAGGAGGAATGGGCCAAAATTCACCCAACTTATTGTGGGAAGCTTGCGGAAGGCTACCCGAAACAATTGACCTAATTTAAACAATTTAAAGGCAATGCTACCAAATACTAATTGAGTGTATGTACACTTCTGACCCACTGGGAAAGTGATGAAATAAATAAAAGCTGAAATAAATCATTCTCTCTACTATTTTTCAGACATTTCACATTCTTAAAATAAAGTGGTGATCCTAACTGACCTAAGACAGGGAATGTTTACTAGGATTAAATGTCAGGAATTGTGAAAAACTGAGTTTAAATATATTTGGGTGCCAGGCCCAGCCAATCAGAATTAGTGTTTCCCCACAAAAGGGCTTCATTACAGATAGAAATACTCCTCAGCTTTTAATTTAACACTGAAAAGTGTGGACCCGTATAGACACTGGACTAATGGTCAGTTTTGATTCAACACTGGAGAATTTGCTGTATAGAATTGTGCAGTATAATTATTAATAGTTCATCTGACATGTGAATATTAGACTATACAATTATTAATCTATTTACCCCTATGATGTTTAACACCATTATAGCTTACCATAATATGCTACTGTTTTTTTATGCAATATTGTTTAAACTAAAGTGTAGCCTCTAGGTTTGTTACAGCACAGCAAAATCAATGGTGTACATTTAATTCAGAAAGTGTTATATGTACACTATTTCCAGTTAACATATGAGTCCCACTGAACTGGTGTAAAAAATAACTAAAAGTGTTAAAGATTTTACTCTGTTGCAGTGTTCCCCATTCAATTCTTAAAGTGTTCAACTAAACTTGATAGTGGTGTTTGCATAGCTCTACTGTAGAATAATACGCAACACCTACAGTGTAAAACATACAGTGCCTTGCAAAAGTATTCATCCCCCTTGGCGTTTTTCCTATTTTGTTGCATTACAACCTGTAATTTAAATTGATTTTTATTTGGATTTCATGTAATGGACATACACAAAATAGTCCAAATTGGTGAAGTGGAATAAAAAAATATATTCTTTCAATAAATTATAAAACATAAATAACGGAAAAGTGGTGCGTGCATATGTATTCACCCCCTTTGCTATGAAGCCCCTAAATAAGATCTGGTCGAACCAATTACCTTCAGATGTCACATAATTAGTTAAATAAAGTCCACCTGTGTGCAATCTAAGTGTCACATGATCTAAGGGCAAGTAACAACACATCTGCCACGCTGATCCTCAACACGGGGGCCCCTCAGGGGTGCATGCTCAGTCCCCTCCTGTACTCCCTGTTCACCCATGACTGCATGGCCAGGCACGACTCCATCACCATCATTAAGTTTGCCGACTACACAATTGTGGTAGGCCTGATCACCGACAACGATGAGAAAGCCTATAGGGAGGAGGTCAGAGACCTGGCCGTGTGATGCCAGGATAACAACCTCTCCCTCAACGTGATCAAGACAAAGGAGATGATTGTGGACTACAGGGAAAAAAGAGGACTGAGCACGACCCCATTCTCATCGACTGGGCTGTAGTGGAACAGGTTGAGAGCTTCAAGTTCCTTGGTGTCCACATCACCAACAAACTATCATGGTCCAAACACACCAAGACAGTCGGGAAGAGGGCACGACAAAGCCTATTCCCCATCAGGAGACTGAAAATATTTGGCATGGGTACTCAGATCCTCAAAAAGTTCTACAGCTGCACCATCGAGAGCATCCTGACTGGTTGCATCACCGCCTGGTATGGCAACTGCTCGGCCTCTGACCGCAAGGCACTAGAGAGGGTAGTGCGTACGGCCCACTACATCACTGGGGCCAAGCTTCCTGCCATCCAGGACCTCTATACCAGACGGTGTCAGAGGAAGGCCCTAAAAATGATCAAAGACTCCAGCCAACCTAGTCATAGACTGTTCTCTCTGTACCGCACGGCAAGCGGTACCGGAGCGCCAAATCTAGGTCCAAAAGGCTTCTTAACAGCTTCTACCCCCAAGCCATAAGACTCCTGAACTGCTAATCATGGCTACCCAGACTATTTGCATTGCCCACCCATCCCACCCCACCCCATTACCCTATTTTACACTGCTGCTACTCTGTATATTATTTATGCATAGTCACTTTAACTCTACCCACATGTACATATTACCTCAATTACCTCGACTAACCGGTGCCCCTGCACATTGACTCTGTACCGGTACCCCCTGTATAAAGCCTCCCTAATGTTATCTTATTTTACTGCTGCTCTTTAATGATTTGCTATTTAATATTTTTTACTTAACAATTTTTCTCCTCTTTTTCTTCTCTTAAAACTACATTGTTGGTTAAGGGCTTGTAAGTAAGTGTTTTACTGTAATTTCTACACCTGTTGAATTCGGCGCATGTGGCAAATAAAATTTGATTTAATTTGATTTGATCTGTCAAATGATCTCAGTATATATGCACCTGTTCTGAAAGGCCCCAGAGTCTGCAACACCACTAAGCAAGGGGCACCACCAAGCAAGAGGCACCATGAAGACCAAAGAGCTTTCCAAACAGGTCAGGGACAAAGTTGTGGAGAAGTACAGATCAGGGTTGGGTTATAAAAAACTATCCAAAACTTTGAAGTTACATTTACATTTTAGTAATTCAGCAGACACTCTTATCCAGAGCGACTTACAGGAGCAATTAGGGTTAAGTGCCTTGTTCAAGGGCACAGACAGATTTTTCACCAAGTCGGCTTGGGGATTAGAACCAGCGACCTTTTGGTTACTGGCACAACGCTCTTAACCACTAAGCTACCTGCCTCCCACACAACTTCCCACAGAGCACCATTAAATCCATTATTAAAAAATGGAAAGAATATGGCACCACAACAAACCTGCCAAGAGAGGGCCGCCCACCAAAACTCACAGACCAGGCAAGGAGGGCATTAATCAGAGAGGCAACAAAGAGACCAAATATAACCCTGAAGGAGCTGCAAAGCTCCACAGCGGAGATTGGAGTATCTGTCCATAGGACTACTTTAAGCCGTACACTCCACAGAGCTGGGCTTTACGGAAGAGTGGCAAGAAAAAAAGCCATTGCTTAAAGAAAAAAATAAGCAAACACGTTTGTTGTTCGCCAAAAGGCATTTGGGAGACTCCCCAAACATATGGAAGAAGGTACTCTGGTCAGATTAGACTATAATTGAGTTTTTTGGCCATCAAGGAAAATGATATGTCTGGCACAAGCTCAAAACCTCTCATCACCCCGAGAACACCATCCCCACAGTGAAGCATGGTGGTGGCAGCATCATGCTGTGGGGATGTTTTTCATCGGCAGGAACTGGGAAACTGGTTAGAATTGAAGGAATGATAGATGGCGCTAAATACAGGGAAATTCTTGAGGGAAACCTGTTTCAGTCTTCCAGAGATTTGAGACTGGAACGGAGCACTAAGCATACTGCTAAAGCAACACTCGAGTGGTTTAAGGGGAAACATTTAAATGTCTTGGAATGGCCTAGTCAAAGCCCAGACCTCAATCCAATTGAGAGTCTTTGGTATGACTTGAAGGAGCTGGAGCAGTTTTGCCTTGAAGAATTGGCAAAAATCCCAGTGGCTAGATGTGCCAAGATTATAGAGACATACCCCAAGAGACTTGCAGCTGTAATTGCTGCAAAAGGTGGCTCTACAAAGTATTGACTTTGGGTGGGGGTGAATATTTATGCACGCTCAAGTTTTCTGTTTTTCTGTCTTATTTCTTGTTTGTTTCACAAGAAAAAATATTTTGCATCTTCAAAGTGGTAGGCATGTTGTGTAACCCAAATGATACAAGCCCCCAAAACATAAATCTTAATTCCAGGTTGTAAGGCAACAAAATAGGAAAAATGCCAAGGTGGGTGAAAACTTTCGCAAGCCACTGTAACACTTGATTTAGAGGAAACTGGACTAATTTTGCTTAGTGCTGGCTCTGTTACACTTTCTCAATGTAAGAAATGAACACCTTTAGTGTTGCAGTAAATCGTTTTGGGGTGTTGTTTTAACACTGTATGGTGTAAAGCCTAATTTACATATTTCCGAGTGTGCCTTTTCTTTTCGAGTGGATTGTAGAGTTACCACCCATGAATGTATTTGTTAGTGACAGAGACGGTTATTTAATTATTTCCTTTAAAAGCCTGTGGCTTTCAGAAAGTGAGTACTTAAGCGAATGCCATCATTGAAATTAAACTCTATATGATTTTGGTTTCTCTTCATTATGCACAACTCTGTGTGGTGGAGGTTTTCTGGGGTTGTGTCCCTTTCTCTACTCTCTTCTATCCTTTTCTTTGGACGGAAAGGTAACAGTGGCTTGACCGCAGCCCAACCTGACTGCCCAGTCCATGGACTGGTGTGTCTGCCCGCTCTGAGGTTTGTCCTTTCTTCCCCTGCCGGAGTAGACCCAAAAACCACCACCACCCACCTGAACAAGATGAACGGGATGAACCAAGGAGTGATGCGCCGCTACAATGTGGTGAGGCTGACGCTAATACCCAAAGAGGAGGCTGCCGAGGATGGAGCCGCCAATCAAAGGGTAACAGCAGGAGCAGCAACGACAACCGCCAGACCAGACACCATGACCTGCCTGGAATTCAGCAGGGCAGTTCTCCAGAGAGGTATGGGCTTTCTGTCATCTGACCTGAACTGCCTGGTGAAACGCCCAGAGCCACAGGAATCATTTGAAGCCAGTTTCAAGAACCCCCAGTTACTAGAACAGTTTTGGTCAAAATGTAGCCCTGTTTAACAGACTCCGAGCATACCCCCTTTCCGACACAGAATCCAATTAGTTACAGTACAGTTTCACAATGAATGCATCCAGGACTACGACATACAAGTTTGGTTAAGCAGTTTCACCACCCTCAAGTCAGTGGCTAGGAGGATCCTGGATGAAGACAACGTCTGGACTGGGGCACGAAAACAACTGGTCCTGTTAAGACTGGAACCAACCGGAGTGGGCAGTGTCCAACACCTCCCCAGCACCATCACACTGGGAATCAACAGAGGCTCGTCCTCTGCTACGGCATGTCCAAACTGTGCAGGAACTGCGGCCAACTGGGCCATCTGGCCGCAGCCTGCACAGCCATCATCTGCAAGATCTGTAAAGACAACCATCCTACCTCAGACTGTACCTCCAAATGCCCCTGCAACCTGTGCGGGAAAGGGGGCCACTTCTTCAGAACCTGCCCCAGTTCTTACGCCGGCAGGGCAAGGGCCAACGCCACCAACCCAACCCCAATAACCCAAATCCCAAACCCACCAATCCTCCACCAGACAACAACAACAAAGACCCAGAACCAGACCTTTCCACAGGCACCGCCCAACCCACCACCCAAGATGTCCCAGAAACGGCCCCCTACCCTGTCACCACCCAAGATGACCCAGAAACAGCCCCCACCCCCACCTCAACCCCCTCCAAACCCCTGCTCAAATGGGAGCCGGTTTTGAGAGAGGCCATATAACTGGAATAACCCCTTGCCTCACAACTCCAGTTCTTAGACGATGACCCAAACTGGATGAAAATGACCAAACAAAAAAAAAACAGACAAACAACAGACCAACAAGAGACCAGAAGACCACCCCAGAACACAAAACCTGACACTAGCAGGCACGACACACAAAACCCCCTATCCCCTCTGAGAAACCGTCACCCCCTCCTAGACCCCTCACCATACCACCCCCCCCCCCCCCCCCCCCCCCCCCCACAGTCCATTACTTCCTCTGATCACTCCTCTCTTCCCCTTACTGCCCCTGATTCCCCACTCCAACCACAAACTGCCCTTGACCCCCTACCATACCCCCTACTGCACCCGACTCCTCCCCCTGCTCCTTAGCGACCCAGATCCATCCCCCTTAGCCCTCCCCGCCCTCCGAAACGCCTTCACCCCTCCCAGCATACCCCATTCCATCACCAAGCCAGTACAGGGGGCCACCAGGCAGTCAGTGGGGAGGCACGCCAAGACCTGTGAACAGCCACGAACCACCCAACAACACAAACGACCCACTAGAGACCCTCATTCAAATCTACAACGAAATTATCAGACCTGGACCCCCCCGTTTACCCATCATCATGACCCTGACAACACACTCCGAAAAAAAGGACTTTCCCCAGATGGCTGTTCAGGGTTGCCTCTCCACTAGGGAATCCATCTATAGACGGCACAAGGTAAGTACAGATAACTGCCCCACTTGCACTGAACACACCTACCAACTGTTTGTGAGTGCTCCGTGGCCAGGTGGGTCTGGGCCATGTCCATCGGCCACCAGCGCCCAGGCCGATGGACATACCCCTCCCTCTCCATCCCTTTCCCCCTTCCTCACTCTACACTTATCCCTCTCACGGAACCAGAACCAGGAACCATTCATCACCACACCAGAAGAAGCATGGAGGAAGGACTAAAGATCTAGACCTACGCCCGGAGCAAGCAGGCCACTTAGGCTTCCAGGTGCATCTGCTCGCTCCTCAGGTTGTCCTTCCTCCCCTCTGCAGATCCAGTATCAGACCCAGTTCCAGTACCACACCCAGCACCAGAACACTAGAAGAGGTGCAGAGGAGAGACCAAACACCAGACATTCACCCAGAGCAAGCATTGACCTCCGGGTCTAGGGCTCCCTTGCATGTCTGCTTGCTCCTCAGGTTGTCCTTCCTCCCCTCTGCAGATCCAGCACTAGTCCCAGCACCAATCCAGATCCCGGTTTCCAGCACCAGTCTCAGCACCAGACCACCAGAGAAGGTGCAGAGGAGGGACCAGAGATCACATCTTCACTGGAGCGTGCATGCCAAAGGGAAGTACCACCACTGACCTCTGGACTCCCTTGTATGTCTGCTCCTCCCCTCTACAGACCCCAACCCAGCCCCAGTTCCTGGTTAATTTTTTCCCCAGACCCAGCACCAACCCCTGGTTTCCAGCCCTGGGACCAGCATGATTTCCAACCCCGCCCCAACCCCAACCCAGGTTTTCTCGGTCCCAGCACCAACTCTGGACAGAGCACCGACAACCACTCACCAAGTAAGGACGACTCCAAATCTAACTACACCAACTCCTCAAAGAAACTGTCAAAGAAGAATATATAATTTGTGGACTGACTAACTAATTGACAGACTGATTATTTCTACCTGTTTTTTGATTGAATGCATTTGTTTTTTTCTTGTTCGATTTGATTAAGATGGATTATTTACTTATTGTTTGAATTGTTTATTATTTTGGAATAACCAAATAAATTGACCTCAAATTAAATACTGACAATACATACAGTTGAAGTCGGAAGTTTACATACACCTTAGCCAAATATATTTAAACTCAGTTTTTCACAATTCCTGACATTTAATCCAAGCAAAGATTCCCTGTTTTAGGTCAGTTAGGATCACCACTTTATTTTAAGAATGTGAAATGTCAGAATAATAGTAGAGATAATGATTTCTTTCTGCTTTTATTTCTTTCATCACATCCCCAGTGGGTCAGAAGTTTACATACACTCAATTAGTATTTGGTAGCATTGCCTTTAAATTGTTTAACTTGGGTCAAACGTTTTGGGTAGCCTTCCACAAGCTTCCCACAATATGTTGGGTGAATTTTGGCCCATTCCTCCTGACAGAGCTGATGTAACTGAATCAGGTTTGTAGGCCTCCTTGCTCGCACACAATTTTTCAGTTCTGCCCACAAATTTGCTATAGGATTGAGGTCAGGGCTTTGTGATGGCCACTCCAATACCTTGACTTTGTTGTCCTTAAGTCATTTTGCCACAACTTTGGAAGTATGCTTGGGGTCATTGTCCATTTGGAAGACCCATTTGCGACCAAGCTTTAACTTCCTGACTGATGTCTTGAGATGCTGCTTCAATATATCCACATAATTTTCCTTCCTCATGATGCCATCTATTTTGTGAAGTGCACCAGTCCCTCCTGCAGCAAAGCACCCCCACAGCATGATGTTGCCACCCCCGTGCTTGACGGTTTTGATGTTGTTCTTCGGCTTGCAAGCATCCCCCTTTTTCCTCCAAACATAACGATGGTCATTATGGCCAAACAGTTCTATTTTTGTTTCATCAGACCAGAGGACATTTCTCCAAAAAGTACAATCTTTGTCCCCATGTGCAGTTGCAAACCGTAGTCTGGCTTTTTTATGGCAGTTTTGGAGCAGTGGCTTCTTCCTTGCTGAGAGGCCTTTCAGGTTATGTCAATATAGGGTTCGTTTTACTGTGGATATAGATACTTTTGTACCTGTTTCCTCCAGCATCTTCACAATGTCATTTGCTGTTGTTCTAGGATTGATTTGCACTTTTCGCAGCAAAGTACGTTCATCTTGTCGTATATGATGAATGGTGGCCATTATCGCTGTCAACAAAGAGTTCGCCATACTGCATCGTGTTAGAGGCTTTTATTAAAATCACGAATCTACAGCATAGATACAGACTCGCGATGTCCGGAGAACGACTCCCCAGATTGATATGGTCGTTCTGTCGTCTCATCGTTTAACTCCTATTTATAAACAATGCAAAGGGAGGGGCTACTCCCTCTTCTGGCCAATCACCAGTCTCCCCTCGGGCGTCACCCTCCAAGCGGCACATTTCAAATAACATCATAAAACCTCCCCCCTCTGGCCTGAACAACCAACATTCCATTTCGTCATGAAAAACATTTAACAAAGACATAATCTTCAGATACGATATTCCCCCCTTTCGAGACGAAATAAACGTCTCGAAAACAAACAGAATAAGATTATGACTATTAACCATTTATCTCATTGAATATTCTTAACCTTAACCCCAAAAACATTCTCCTCTAGAGTGTAAATACCTTTCTATGAAATACCTGTTTATGAAGTGTGAATACATTACTATGACCCATGAAGAAATCTCTATGGAGTGTAAATACATTACTATGACATATGAACAACTGTTTATGAAGTATGAACACATTACTATGAATTATGAATAAATCTCTATGGAGTGTGAGAGCGAAAAACTGTCCAGCAGCCATCCATCCATATCAATCAAGACAGTAAAATTCTCTCACCGTCCCTCTGCCCCAGGCAACCACCGTCGGTACTCCAGATAACCTCATAACTCATGTAAATGCATTTGAAACTATGATGTAATTAAATACCCATGTAAACAAAATCCTATCCATAAATATCCACTCTCAGGCTGGTCAACCCATAGGACCTGAAAGGGAATCTCTCCCTGCTTAAACATTCTGTCCCTAACCCCATCGAAATAAACAAAAGCATCTACGATCCTCATCTGCATTCAATAACATCAAACATAATTCTACTAAAATCAATACCTAAGAATATGACACAATTATGTATTACACATCAAATATGTCTATATTTCATTGCAGACACTGGAATGTAGTCCACTACACTTCCTCTCCCTGTAGTGTCCTCTTCCAATGGACTTGTTGATGATGGAATCAGCCACACCCTCCTTGTTTCATCTCCTCCAGTCATATTGTCCTTGTTTGAGTATTCCAATCTCCACATGTTCTCCCACATGCTTCTGGAATGACAAGAAAATAAACGACCAAACAGTATCCTTTGCAAAACAACCCCTTTCAAATTAAACCTCCATTTCACCTAAGAATTTAAAAAATGATACATAAATGATGCATGAATCACATTATCCATTCCCCCCTTTGATTCATAAATCATACTAAAAATTATACTAATATTGAAAAAACAATTTGAAAAATCATCAAATAATCCAAAATGATATTTATCCCTCAGTTCCACTTGTCCATCTTTATCCAGATCAGGAACAGTCCACACCGGCATCTGAGTGTTGTCTCCAGGCACCACTTCTTCAACCTATCTCAATCTCATAACTTTCTCAAAAGTCAGTACAAACATCACACAGTGTTATCAAAGCTTAAACTAGAATCTGACCCATCACTGCCCCTACTGGCCTAATTGATCTTGCAACCAAATCCTTTCAAATGCATCCCTTACAATGCATCCATAACCCCAGTGATATTATCTGAACTATCTGGACTCACAGTAATACACTAATATTTATCAATATTATCTTCCCAAATGTTACACCATACCATGAATGAAGTCCCCCCTTCTCCCTTAAACTTATTCTTCAATGATAGGCTTGAAGACTATGACATGTCGCCATGTGTCTGCTAAATGACCAAAATGTAAATGCAATGTCACCCTTCCAACCCTAGATTTAGCTGTGTCCAATGCTATCCCTCTTATAATGGTAAAACCTCATATGGAAGCTTCAACGTTGACCTGTAACAACATCCTATCCCCATAGGGTAAGAATATACTCTATCATAATTTCCCCTTATCCTCTAAAATTCCCATAGTCACATTGTCAGTCAAAAGCTAATCTTTTAACCATCAAAGTCCTGCTCTTCTTACTACCTGATATATAAAAAGTAACCTATTATTTGTCATTACTACCCTTAAGGTCATGCTTATCCAAAGTTATCATCTAACATCCCAATCTGATCTTTCCATAAACATACCCCTTACCTCATATGTTTTATTAGAACAAACACAACTTTTAGCCCTCAATATTTCACCTGAATACTTCAGAGTTTGCAATTACCTGATTTTACTTTCTCTCTAACCAATGCTCATAGGGTAATCTTTTCACCCAAGAACACTTAAACCCTACTGTTTTGACAACAACATTATTTTATCGGTCAATGACTGTTGCCGATACCACAGTCATGACAAAGCATAATCCTGACCCAGACCCGCTAGAGGCTGCGCAACCGTCCAACACGTTTTGGGCTGGCATCCCCAACAGACATCAACCCTCAAGATTCCTCACCGATTCTTACAAAATCATTTACTGGAACCAAATATTCCTACCTGCCTATCTATCTCTAATTTTCACAACAAAAGAACAAGCGGCACTGCAGATACCTCTTCCCGTCTGTCATCAAAATCAAAGACCTCATCCTATAGCTCCATGATGAATCTATCTTCTCCATTTCAGATTAATCTATATTGTTTCTATCTGCCCTCCTATTTTCCATAACCTCCTGAGTCCCTCTTGCTACCTCTAATTTCAGAAAAATTGTTGTCAGTATCATACTCCTATATTTGCTATTGCCATAATATCATTAATCCCTTCCAAAGTTACCCTTAAAGTAGTTGATTTAGCTGCTGTATCAACCCTAATTACTTCTAGTGCAAAATTTCCCATTATCCTCTGTGTATTATCTACTGTTGGAGTGACTACTGTCCATTCAGTTCTACTCCTCCTGAACTCCCTCAATGACTGTGAAAACTTCCACAGACTTCAAATCTTCCATTATAAGCGTTACTTTATGAATTACATTGCCCTTTAACCAATAATTCCTAACCGAAACAAATTCTAATGCTTGCCCTAAATAAGTACACATATATTCTCCCTAACCTTTCTCTATAATATTACGCAACATAAGTGAACAGTCACTCCTAACCCTATTCCAAACTATACCTCCTTCTACTCCTGGTCCTGATAACAATACTTATTCTCCATAATTATCTCTCCATATGAGAGAAACGTCCCCATCTTAAACCCTAATAAGTATTTTTCCCCCTAAAATTGGTGCTGTACTGGTTCCCTTATAATCAAATGCAATATGTTTATGACTTTAATACCTATCAATGTTGAAAGAGTTAAATTGCTTCTCCCTGTTGTTCTAATAAACTGAAGTGTTAATGTCCTTATTTACTCCTAGTTTTCCACCAAGACTTTGAACTCCTTCCTTGTACTTCCATCCATCCCCACTAGTGTCACTTTTTTCCCCCTTTCAGTTCTACCTCTAAACTTTAAACCTCCTGATTATAACAAAATACACCTATAATGACCTTGATCTCCCTACTGGAAACTGTAAATATAGATACTCAATCACCCTCAAATCATTCAGCAACACATACTTTCTCAATGCATCTGCTCCTAACCGATTTAAACTCCTACCATATCTTCCCACTAAACTTTAAAATGTCCTTCCTCACTGTTCTCTCTCTGTCTTACTACTAACTTTGAAACTTAGCTTACTGTCTCAGAGTTCTTTCAACCTATCCTACCCCTAACTTATTTTAATCTAATCTTTTCTCTCAT